AGCCATTTAGGAACACTCCAGGTGAAGGGAACAGCATGTGCAAAGGCCCAGGAGACACAGAGACTAGAGAAACAATGTCCAGTATGGCAGGGGGTCCGGTGGGTGGCTGAAGCGACATTGGGAAGGCACACAAGGGCAACTGTGGACCTTGATGGCTCTATTAAAGATTTTGGCCTTGAGCCACAGATGGGTTTTGTTTTGTTTTTGGTACCAGGGATCGAACTCGGGTCCTTGTGCTTTCGAGGCAGGCAGCGGAACTACTAAGCTAAATCCCCGGCCCATCCACAGATGGGTTATAATCTGGGGGGGTAACTTGAAAAGGGCCAAGTCTGCCAGGCAGAGAGAGACACAGGATTGGGAAAGGTCACAAAGGCCGAGGGCACTGGAAGGGCAGAGTGACAGCCTGGCTGGGCTTTTGTGGCTCAGGGGGACAATAGACGAGGGGAGCTGAGAACCAGAGGGGTGGGAGGCTCATTCACCTCTGCCTCCCTCTGGAGTTTTGGGAGTGGGGCTAAGAGTGAGGTCTCTCACTATGGCTGCCTGACTCTGGGGCCTCCAGGTGGGCGCCTGTTGGAGTGTCTCCCGACTGATGTTGAAGGCCTGGCACCCACCTCATGGCATCCTCAGGAGCTGAGGTCTCAGAAAGTAACTGGTCACTGGGAGGAGCCCTCAGAGGGGACCCTGGGACTCTAGTCCCTTTTCGTTCTGTTGCTTCCTGCCTGCCGTGATGCCTTCTCCACACTGGCTCCCACCATGATGCACCACCTCGCCACAGACCCCAAAGCGACAGGGTCAGGGACTGAAAAGACTCTAAAGCTGTGAGCTGAAATCAACCATTTTTCCTGTCAGCCAATTCATTGTAGATATTTTGTCACAGTGACAGAAAGCTGGGTCACACATGAACCCAGCATATTCCTTGCCAGAGCCAGTTGGTGTGACCCTTCCTGCCCCACTGGAAAGACATCTCTGCTTCTGGATGCTCTGTCTCTTGAATCAGAAGCTGCCAGAGACTTGGACTTCAAGGCTCCTCTAGTCCAAGGCTTCCTATTGCTAACCTAAATTATCACTGAATCTCCAATGGCCCCATAGGACAGCTGCTGGCTTCAGCACTGATGGACGGGGTCACAAGACCTCACTCCCTGGAGGCTGGGTGTGCGGGCCCAGGACAGGGTGAGGACACAGTGAGGACCAGGAAAGGCAGCCGCAGCCGCAGCAGGGAGCTCCATGAGGTTATCTATTAAGCATGGCCGTTACCTATTTCCCTGTTTGTAAGAGGAGAATTTTGTCTTGTTTTTGTTTTTTGTTGTTTTTTGAAACAGGGTCTCACTATGTAGTTGAGCCTGACCTAGAACTCACTTAGAGGAGAATTTTGGTGCAGATCAAAGGGGAGTTCCCCTCATGGCCAGGCACAGCATGGCTGTTGTGCTCACTCGTAATAATAATAACAAGGATGAGCTGAAGTCCTGGCTGCCGGAGGACTCAGGGTTCAGCTGCTGAGTGACCTGGAGCCATTCACTGCCCTGGTAGATTGCAGTTTTGACTAATCCATAGGTTTTTTTCTTTTTTGGTACTGGGGATTGAACTCAGGACCTTGTGCTTGCGAGGCAGGTGTGGCGCCCCTGAGCTAAATCCCTGGCTCATAGATTTAATGCATGTGGTCCTGAAATAGATCAGCAGATTTAATATCCTGCGGTGCTGCTGAGCAGCTGTAAGACTGGGACTGGCATCCAGAAATGACAGGAGCTGCTGGACGACGCCCACTGAAGGTACTGGAATGAGGGTGCAAGCTAACCGGCTTAACTGGGCATGGTAGCCATGCGTGAGCCACGAGGCTCCCCAGAGGCCAGCGTTTCCTGTCAAGATGTTTCCCCTAGGGATATCCTGGGATCTCTGGCTCACAGCCACAGTGTGCTGGACAGATCCACCATAGCTGCAGGTGGGCAGGGATAAGGTCAGGCCTGGCAGAGGACCGGGTTCCCCACATCTAGAAGGCCTCTGGGGTCTGCACCCTTCTTCCTGTGTGCCCGCCTCCTGTCCACGCCCAGGCCCCTCTGCACTCATCATGGCAGCTTTCCAGAGGGGCCTCAGAAGCTGAGTTGCCTCAGTTTAGCCCTCTGGCTTGGCTTGGGCCATAGGAGAGGACCCAGGGAGGCAAAGAGGCGCTGCACCTCCACCATGCCTCTGGTCAAGACCACAGCACAGCAGAGGCGAGGCCAGCAAGCCCTACACCTGCTGCTTGTTTTGGGGAACCCGGAGAGCAATCTCCCTTCCTTCTCAGCTGCACTGCCCTGGAGCAGCCAGGAGGAAGTGTCCCACCCCAGGAGTGGGCGCTGGCTGTGGGTGTGGACCTATGGCTGTGCTGGGTTTGGCCCGGTCTCAACTGGGTTTGTCTTGGACACACTGGCCCCTGTCATGTGGGCGCCATCCCTCTGGGGCTCAGCCAGTGCTGCGGCCTTAGGAAGCTTGGTCAGACAGAGGCCTGGAGCACAGATGTGCAGACAATGCCAGTAGGAACTGTCTTTGTTTATTGAACGCTTACTACGTGACAGGAATTGGTCAAACTGTATCTGTGCCCTTAATCTTGTTAAGGCCTATGAGCAGGGTACTATTATCACCTTCTTTAAGAATGAGTAAAAAGAAGCATCCATTGGATGAGTGACCTTCTCAAAATCACACAGCTCAAAAACTAAGGAGGAGAGCTGAGATTGAGACTCAGCTTGCCTCTAATCCCTTCCCACAACCGTGGCCAGGCACAGTGGTAGCAGTTTCGAAATCATTTGCAGTACCAGGCTCTTAAAAACACACTATTTCAATTAATTTCAACAGACTCCATTGAGGTAGGTGTTCCTACTCTTGCTGTCTTTGACAGACGTGGAAACCAAGGTGGAAAGGCTGACTGCTTTGCCCAGGGTCTGAATGGGAGTCTGTGGTGTAGCTTGAGTACTGCCTCTTCCTGGGCTGTACAGCTCGTGCTCCTTTTTCCTGCCCCTAACATGGCTTCACCCAAAAGCCAGCGTCCTGCTGCGTGTGCCTCCTCCTCCTCCTAGAACTCTGGCCCTGGGTCGGGTGTTGTCCTCATGGTGGTTTATTTTAGGGGCCTTGTCACAGAGGAAGCAGGGCCAGTTCATGATTCACAGCTGTGGACAGCAAGCGACACACACAGACATTGCTCCCAGGGCCCCACAGACTAGGCCAGCACGTCCATGTGCTTCTTGGGGATGAGTTTTAGTGTGTGTGGGTGTCAGGGTAGCAAGCGGTGTCTTGTTTTTGGTAGTGTTGTGGATCGAACCCAGCACCCAGCACCCTCGCACCCATTTGGTTCTGAGACACAGTCTTCTTAGGTCACTACTTTGCCCAGGCTGGGCTTGATCTTGTGGTCCTCTCACTTCAGCCTTCCAGCGTACTGGCATTAAAGGTGTGCCCCATCGTGCCTGGTTTAAGCGATGTCTTAATGTCACATTTCCGTTTTTGCTGCATGTATTGCATGCACTAACATTGTTAGCTAACTTGTGGTGAAGTGTACATAAAATAAAATTCACCATCTTGACCATTTTAAGTATACAATTTAGCAGCATGAAGCACATGATTTTTTTGTGCCATCATCCATCTCCAGAACTTTTATTTTCATCCTAAACAAAATCTCTTTTTCCCATCAAACACTAAATCCCCAAGCCAGCCTTGCCTAAAGTGGGGGAGGAGACCCTGTCAGAGTGAGGGAGGGGCCTGTGCCTGGGGTGCAGAGCTGAAGCTACCACCCTTAGGTGCCGTCCACGGCTTCCCCTCCTGCTGCTGGTTCTGATCAGAGGAGGGAAGGAGGCTGCAGCCTTGTTCTGGGCCGATAGTCTGTGTCTCTCCACCTTGTAGAGCTGCAGAAAGGGCTCAGTTTAGCATTTATTGAGAGCCGGAGGGAGCAGAGGCAGAGCAAGGTCGATGTCTGTCCTCTGCCTCTTTCTGAGCATGTGGCCTTGGGTGGGTTCTTCATGTCTCAGAGTCGAGAGCAGGGATGGCAAACCTTTTAGAGACGAGTGCCCACATTGCAACCCCAAACCCACTTAATTATCACAAAATGCCGACTCTGCAAATAAACCTGAGGACTAAGGTTTCAATTTAGAAAAAGCAACTCATACGTTAACATCGATTGCCTTAAAAGAAGAGTAACACCTATGGCATAGGTTCACCACCACCAGCCTAGGGTCATTGTGAAGATCAACAAGAGGATGTGCATCTGCGGCTTTGGGTGGGTCGAGCACACGGTGGCCTGGACGCAGGGACTGCCTCTTCGTGGACCACTGCTGGGCATCAAGACAGGCTGTGGCCCAGGGCCTTCTCAGTGAGTCAGATGAGGCCACATGGTGCGACCTGTCCAGTTACTGTGGTTGTGGGGTATTCGTCAGGTGATTAACATGGGGTCTACCAAGCTTCTTCATTGCGAGGTTAATTAACAATACTGTGTACTCACCAGATAACTAGTATGTAATCAGCGTTTTGTGGGAATGCCCTTGAGATTGTATAAACACTCTCTTCCTCATCAAACTTGCACCCCCTGGTTTTAACATCATGTTTTGTCAGATAGTGACTTTATCATTTCATCATTTCTTGTACTTTTTTCCCTGTCTACCTATTTTATTTGGAATTTTGCTGCAAGGCAGAGCTTTTCTCTCCCCTTTGTCTATTGATTTATTTATTCATGGACTCACATTTCTGTTTCATTCAGTGGGTTATAATCTTTCATTTTGATGTGCAAATGGTTTTTCTCTAAAATGAAAAGTATATGAAAAGCTTGAAGAGTGGTTCATAACCTAGTGTGGTTGTATCATTAAATAATAGTGTCAAGCAGTTTCTATATACCAGACAATGTTCTCTGTCTGCTCCTTATATTTGTATCATTTCTTCACATAGGTGATAGCTGTTCCTTGTTGTGAAGTAATTCCAAAATGTACCAGTGTAAAACCACAGACTTGCCTAGAATCGCACATTTTCTATGAGTCAGAGTGGCTCACCTGAGTGATTCCAGCTTGAGGTCTCTCATCTGTTCACATTCCTGATCTTGCTAGTGCTGCAGGTGGTGAAAGGATCCACCAAGACTGGGGGATCTGCTTTGGTGATACCTGGTTCCTGTGGCTGGGAGTAGGAAGCCTCGGCTTCTCCCTGCCTGGACCTCTCCTCAGGGCTGCTTGAATACTCTTGCAGCATGGCAGCTCTCACATGTGACCTCACAGGGCTAGCGTAAGGAGGAAACCACAGCGCCTCTGTGACTTGGCCTTGGAATTTGTACCCCATCGCCTCTGCCATATTGTTTTCTTTTTTCATTCCCGGGAACTCAGGACCTTGTGCTTGCCAGGCAAATATGGTGCCACTGAACTAAATACCTGGCCCACCTCTGCCATATTCTACTCTCTGGGAGCACAGCCCTAAGTGCACCCTACACTTTCTGAGAGGGGAAGGGTACTCACAGGCCCCCAATAAAGAGCAAAAGTCAAAGACTTTGTAGGAGTACAGCTGCTGTGACATCTGTTAACTCTTACTCCAGTCTGTGCTATAGCCCCACGAGGGAGGCATTACCCTGAGCAGCTGGGGGACTTGCTCAAGGTTACACAAGTGGCTGGGGGTAAATTTGGAACGGGCTGCCCGACAGCCTGCTTTCCACATTCTCAACCACTACCTGATCTGACTGGGCCTCGAGGCTGTACCTTGCTGAGCTGATGAAGTATTCCTGAAGGTGCTCAAGGGAGAGACGTGGCTCACTGCGGCTTTGGAAAGCACCCTGATGCAGGCTGGAAGGTGACGGGAGAGGTGACCCCTTTCTCCCTTTGCCCCAGGAAGCCCATTCTCATCTGCCGCTCCCTACCTGCTCATTCTGCAGGAGGATCATGAAGATAGGCCATGGGGCGTGGAGGAGGATGGCACTTGTGATGCCAGCCAAGCTGTGTCACATTTTCATGGCTGTGACACGATACCAGAGGGATCACCCTAAGGGAAGAAACAATTGTGAGGCCAGAAAGGGGAGAGAGAGAGAGAGAGAGAGAGAGAGAGAGAGAGAGAGAGAATATGAAAGAGTCAGGGTCCTCATAGCCCCCTCACAGGGCATCTTCCTTGTGTCCTACTTCTCCCAACAAGGCTCCACCTCGTAAGTTTCCAACACCTTCCTATAGTACTATGACCAGCCTGGGACCAAGCCTTCAACACAGGAGCCTTCAAGGGACATTCAGGTCCAAACTAAGTAAAGCTCTGGGGACACGGTAGAACAACGTAATGGACTAGGTGGAGGGTGAGGGTGGGACTGTATGAAACCTGGCCCTTACCCTTGGGAACATTCTGTCTACCTGGAAGATAAGAATATAAACATGAGATTGTTTCAAACCCAGGTTTGGTGTGGCTAACTGCTCAATGGTATAGACAAGGACCATGTCTCTGTCTCTTTCTTAGAGGCAGGGTGCTTCTGTTGTGCCTTTTATTTTATGTGAAGTGAACAAAAGACAAAGTGATAACAGGATGGTGTCCTATTGTGGCACAGGCAGGAGAGACCAGCATCTGGCCCAGGAGGTAGGATGGGGCAGGACGCTTAGCAGAGGGAACAGCAGAGGACCCGTCACTGGGACCTACGCAGACTAGAAAGCACCGTGAGGAGGGCCAAGGACCTCAGGCATCCACAGGGGCATCCTGGGGCAGGCAGGTCTCAGCATCTGGAATTTCCACGTGAAGCAAAGTTACCAAGTGTGAGCTGGAGTTTGGAGCGAATGCCTTTTAACCCTCAGTACCCTTTGGTCTTGTTTGGGGCTCAGTCTTGGGCATGAAAGTGGAGAAGGGACCAGCACAGGTTGGGGGACTCCGGCTCCACGGGGGCAGCTTGGGAAAGAAGAGAGGGAGGTTCAGGTCCACGCATCAGTGGCCTGCAGGCTGTGTGGCAGGCTGACCTTGGTGAGGGTCAGAGTGTGTGGTGAGCTGCAGTGGGGCCTTGTCAGCATCAAGACCCTTGAGAGATCCCGGCCTTCCCACTCGGTGCCTGGAGGAGCACCGGGAAAGCCGCTGTGCAGCGCTGGGCTGGCCCTGATGTGGTGGGGGAGAGAAGAGCTTCTTCATTTCTCTGCAGAGGTGGTTGAAGTTGGTGATTTGAACCCCGGCCTTGCCACTTCCTGCCTGTGGGGCCCACGTTAGGAGGTAGGGGATAATTCCCCATCTGGCACACGGGGATAATTAATCCCCACCTCCTGGGGTTGGGGGAGAATCAGTTCAGTCAGGCATGTGACTGTAATTGTTCCACAGCAAAGCGCTTTATGACCCTTGGGGAATGTGACTGTGAAACGAATCCCCCAGTGACAGCCAGTATAGCTTCGTGGTCAGCAGATACTGTGTGCTGGGACCCGGCTGGGTGTGTCACAGCTATGGCAGCTGCAGAAATGATGGGCTCCCTCTCTGCCTCTTGAGCCCGGTGAATAAAGCCAATTTGATAAGAGCACCCGGCCCCGGCTCTTTTGAGAGGGTGGCATCTTCTGTGAAAGCATCCTGTGGAATCCACCTGGGTTTGATCAGCAAGGTAGTCCAAGGGAACCCCTGTCTCAGCCAGATGGTTCCACCCCAGCCAGGAGGGGCTTTATCTCTGTTTGCTTTGTTAGAGGCCTGAGCAGAGTGTTGGAGCCCAGCCTCAGGGCGACATGACAGCCCTGGCGGGTCCAGCTGGGCCCAGGCCTTCTGAGGATGCCTGGAAGAGAAGCTTTAGCTGGACTTCTGTGGACATCAGGGTGAGCACTGGGTGAAAATGAGATGGCTGGTAAAAGAGGAGCTCCTCCTCTTCTCCTCCTCCTCCTCCTCCTCCTCCTCCTCCTCCACCTCCTTCTTCTTTGGTAGTACTAGGGATTGAACCCAAGGCCTTCTTAGTGAGCTATGTCCACATCCCTTTTGAAAACTTTTTTGTTTGAATCAGGGTCTTACTAAGTGACTAAGTTGCCCATGCTGGGCTTGAATTTGCTATCTTTTGCTTCAACCTCCCAGAGTGCCGGGAATATAGGTACGGACCGCCATACCAGGCTAAACCTCTCTCTTTTTAAAAAATAAGTATGGTACTCAACCTCAGGTATTTTGTTATAGCAGTAGAAAATAGAATGATACATACTTAATGTAGAAGAAAAGAAGAACACTGAGATTAAAAAATGGGATGCAACAAAAACCAAACCAAATCTGAGACTAGCTATTGGTGCAATATATTGGTTGCACATTTATATAACCATTCATTATTAACCTAACTGTGCCCCCAAAAAGTACTAGAAAGGGCAGTCTCTATTCCTTTCACCCAATTATTGCCATGTAAGAAGGGAGCCCAGTGTGTCCAGATCTCTGGGTTTTCAAGACAATTCAGAAAGTCACAATGTTTATGTAAAATTTTCTGCCTTATGCAAGCTTGCAACTAAAATATTTAGCATGCTAAGCTCTTGAACACTTTGTAGGTGAACTAAATCTTCAGCCAGCTCAGCCCTTGGTGATACTGAATGACCCTTTGGCTTTGGTTTCTATTACAAAGGCAGGACAACCTGCAGGAAGGAGTTGGTGCTTATTCTGGGAATAGAGTTTAAGTATGTGGCAAGGAGTAGGAAGGGTTCCTGAGCCCTGGAAGTAGGAAGACCATGGCATACTTGGGAAATAAAGAACTTGATAGGAATAGGGTGAGAAGAAGGAGGAGAGGTTGATGTGTGTGTTTCAATCCTGCCCCATTTCCTTATTCCTGCCCTCCTTAGGTGTGTTCCAAAACAGCCCAATTCTGGGGTACAAGGATTGACCTCCAGGTACCATGAGACCAGAGAAAGAGAGACAGGTAGACCTAGGGTTTGCACAGAGTACAATTCACCAAGGGGCTTACTGATGGGGGTGTGGCCCTGGGCACCATCGAGAACAGCTAGAACTGCATAGTTTTGTTCAGAAGAGGGGAACATACTTGGGTTAGGACAGAATGACTTCATTGCAGTCGGGATGCACCTGCTTTGTCTTAAGCTGAAGTCAAAGAGTCAGACGCATCCCTGGAGCATGATGTAAAACTCCACACACCACTCAGGTGGTTCGGTCTATTTCTAGTTTTCTGGGAAACCGAGCAGAAAAATTTGGCTAGGTTTGTACTGGGACAGTCGTGGCAGTTAGGCTGCAGTCTTGTGAGGCTGAAGTTGGTTGGTTTTGAGTCAGGTTGTTCAGGGACCTCACTTGTTCCCCAGGGACAGTGGTGATGAAGAAGTCAGTATAGCTGGTGATGAGGGTGGGAAGAGCAGTGCAGAAGGCAAGGGGGAGAAACCCAGAGACATCTGGGGAATGTGTGATGGGATGGTGCAATACTTCCTGACGGTCGGTCAGCTTGTCCTTTAATCAGAAACAGCGACACCCCGAGTGTGGCTGCGGTGTGGCAGTCCACGTGGGTTTTTCAAAAGCTCGAGCCTCTGCCTCTGAGTTTCACTAAATGCAGTGCTGCAGCTGCAAAATGAGCACTGGCCTGGCTGAGTGAGCGGGGGCAGGGGGCGCTGTGGGCAGGAGAGGCAGGAAGACTGGATCCAGAGTCAGGGCCCCAGGCTCTGGCGACAGCTCCCTCAGGGCTGAGATCCCACTGGCATCGAGTCAGCTGCAGGCTCCACAACTGCCAGGGATCGTAAGGTACACAGTGGAGTCTGTGCGGCACCTATGGTAACACGTATCTGCTTACAAAATGCTACAGGGGTACCAGAGGGATCCTGGTATTGCATTCTGACTTTAAGTTTGCTTTCTTTTCTTTTCTTTTTAAATCTGTACAATGGGAAATAATATGATCTGTCTTGTGAGGATGCTGTGAGGACCAGATGATCTTCGAAAGGTGTTTAGAATGATTCTTGGCACGTAAGATCCCCCCGTAAGTGTTGCTGTCATTACTGCCACTGATACTATTTGCATTATTTTTTCACCTATTGTGGTGCCCACTGAGACTCCCAGCAGCCTGTCCTCCTCTCGTGGTGCTGGAAGTTAGGAAGGAGGCCACTCTGCTCCTCCCTCAGGGGTCCTGTGGATCTTGTCTCTGCTTCTTCCCGCCCTATTTCGAGTCTCCTTCTCCACGCTGGCTCCTTGCACCTGCTCACTTTACACAAGGCTGTACCTGTAAGGCTTTAAGGCTCCAATGTCGGGCACAGCTGGCCTTAGTTCAGCTGTGTCTTATGTGTCAGGTTCGAGAGAGAGAGGGAGAGAGAGAGAGATTCCTATGTACTCCAGCCCAGCCAGCTTGAGCTCCCCGCTTCCTGGGGGTGGTGGCCAGGCTCTGAGGGACACATTGATAGCACCTTTAACTAGGACGTAGTGAGCACATGAGTGTCCATGATGTGCCAGGTGATATTCCAGGCACAGGGACCCAGAGAATCCAGCAGAGCACACTCTGCCCCTGGGAGACCTTTCTGCTGCGAGGCCTTGTTGGGCAGAGGTCGTGGATCTGTAGCAGCATCCCAGGCCTCAAGCGCCCTGATCTCTCTGTCTCCACTCCCTGGCTTTAGCGATTACCATCCTGCTGTTTCCCCTTCGCTGCCTTTTCTTCCTTTCCTACCCTGTCCCTGGCAGCCCTGTCTTTCAGGACCAATGTTTCCTTTCTCCCCTTGCAAGCTCCCAGCCGTCCATCCCTCAGTTCGCCTACCACGTCCCATGGCCTCTTCTCTCCGACTGGACTTCAGAGCCATCCTCACGGACTCCACCTCAGGGCTGGCCCTTGGCTCTACTTTCTCTCTCCTCTGGCCAGTCGTTCTCACATCTGTCTCCTCTTCTCCAGCCAGTCCTGGCATGGCTTCTCTTGGCTTTGGTTTCTCCTTTTCAATCCATCTTATTCGTCAGCCAGATTAATATTCCTGAAATGCACCGCTGACGTCACATTCTTCAGTACTGTCTTCTGG